AAAATTTGGAAAATTTCTAATATTTTTATAAACAATATTATAACAAATTTGACATTTTAAAATCATGTTCGAAAATTCGAACTTAATTCCGAAATTCCAAAGCCTTGCGTAAAACGATTTTAAAACGGTTCTAATCATTAATTTGAAAGATTTTTTTGTGTAAAAGCAAATTTGAACAAATTTTTCGAATTTCGAACATAAAATTTTTCATTAATTTTGACTTAATTTTTGATAGCAAATAACAATAAATTACTTTTATTGAGAAAAATAATGAAATTTGTGCATTTTCAGCCATGTTCGAAAATTCGAACTTAATTTCGAAATTCCAAAAACTAGCTTAAATTGTTATTTTATAAATGTAGAATTCAAATACAATAACAATTTTTATATTTTTACAATATTTCCCTTATTTTTTGATTTTCGAACATAGAAATATTTAAATTGCGAATAAAATTTTTAACTTTTAAATAAGAAATTGCATAACATTAATAAAATTTACTTTTTATGGGTAAAAATTTCAATTTTAATACATTTAAGCCATGTTCGAAAATTCGAACTTAATTTCGAAATTCTAAAATCCTGCTCGAAATGTTGCTTTGAGGCTAAAGAATGTAAATCAAAACTTTTTTCATGTTTTAACCACCATTTTTCCACATTTATCGATTTTCGAACATAGAAATTTTGTAATTTCGAATAAAAAAATGTTATTTTTAAATAGATTTTAAATAGTTTTTAACTAAAATCTTATTTCCCAAACAAAAATTTATGATTTTGAGCCTTTTAGCTTATGTTCGAAAATTCGAACTTAATTTCGAAATTCTAAAATCCTGCTCAAAATGTTACTTTAAGGCTAAAGAATGTAAATCAAAACTTTTTTCATGTTTCAACCACCATTTTTCCACACTTATAGATTTTCGAACATAGAAATTTTGTAACTTCGAATAAAAAAATGTTATTTTTAAACAGATTTTAAATAGTTTTTAACTAAAATCTTATTTCCCAAACAAAAAATTCTAATTTTGAGCCTTTTAGCTTATGTTCGAAAATTCGAACTTAATTTCGAAATTTCAAAATCCTGCTCAAAATGTAGCTTTAAATGTAAAGAATATAAATCAAAAATTTTTCCATATCTTTAGCAACATTTTCCCACATTTTTCGATTTTCGAACATAAAATTTTTTTAATTTCGAATTAAAAATTTCTAATTTTAAAAAGAATTTTAATAGTTTTTAACAGAAATCTATCTACGCAAGCAAAAAAGTGAGATTTAGAGCATTTTAGCTTATGTTCGAAAATTCGAACTTAATTTCGAAATTTCAAAATCCTGCTCAAAATGTTGCTTTAAATGTAAAGAATATAAATCAAAGCTTTTTCCATATGTTTAGCAACATTTTCCCACATTTTTCGATTTTCGAACATAAATTTTTTTATTTTCGAATTAAAAATTTCTAATTTTAAAAAGAATTTTAATAGTTTTTAACAGAAATCTGTCTACGCAAGCAAAAAAGAGAGCTTTTGAGCATTTTTGTTAATGTTCGAAAATTCGAACTTAATTTCGAAATTTAAATTCGAAATATTGAAGTTATTGAAATAAAACACATTTTCTTTTCTTTTGTTTCTTTGTTGCTTTATTATTTTTAATATTTTATTTTTTTTTTTGTTCGGTTTCTTTATTGCATTTTATCGTTTTGTTGAAATTTTAATTAAAATTAACTTAAAAAATAATTAAAAACAAATTAAACAACTAAATTACTTTTAAATAAAATTTACAACTTTGTTGTGTGTGTTTTTGAGTAGAGTGAGAGAGAAAGATTTATAAGGAATAGACATCAAATAGGACATTTTACAATAACAACATTTAAACTAAATGTTAACAATCATTTTCACGTTGGTTATTAGCAGTGTAGGTGGCAAATAAAAGATTATAGGAGGGGAAATTGCAACATTGCATATCGGCTCTTTGCCACTGGCTATAGCTGGTCGTCTCCAGCTCACGCATGGTGGCATAAGCTTCGGAAGATTTATTGGCAAATATGGTTATAATAAACTTAGCGGGTAAAAAGGTGGCCAAAACACGTTGTATCAATTCGGCATAATTGGCCATAGAAACATTCGATTCGAAGCTAACATAGGAGAATTCCTTTTCGGGGGTAATGTGTATGGTCATATATTCCCCCAGCTGGTTAATACCATTCATGGAATAGCCACAGGGCTCGAATAGGAAATCATCTATAACCATATCGGGTAAAATCTCATGGATTTTGGATTTTACCGTGGCTTCCTTGCCATCCTGGCAGCAGAGTTTGGTGAATACCTGCATTACCTGGGGATCTAGGTTTTCCATTAAAATTTCTATAGTTTGATCGGGTTCCGAGTGATGTTTACCCTCCACTTTTGGCAACTCTATTAATTCGCCCTTTAGCTCACGCTCCGGCTGGCTTAAGGTATACAGATACCAACAATCCTTATTGATTTGACCCAAACAATAGGTTTGGCCACCCTCAAAGATGCTATCCAAGAATTTAACTTCCTCACAGAACATTCGATGCGGCAATAGCTGCAATTCGGGGCGAGCAAAGTTTTTGCGTGAATAAAAGAAATCGGAAATTTCTACAAAACCCATTTCGGCTGCCATTTTCATTAAGGGTTTCAAACAATTCAAGGGGGTGGTAGTGCCACAGGTTTTTAAAATCCATCTCCTTTTCGACACAAACATACTGGATTCACTTAAAACATAAGCATCCACTTCGGAATTTTTGGTAAAACTTATTATTTCACATTTTACTGCCTTCAGCTTCTCGTCCCACACCTCCTTAGTTATCCTTCTCAAATCGGCCTCATCATCCATGGGAGGCTGCTTAAACCAAACCTCCACCAGCTTTTCTACTCCTTCAAAATAATGTTGTGTATTCTCACCCATTGTCTATATACTGGACTGCCGTTTAGCTATACGTCTATCACCAACTACTAGTTATCTCTTAATGAAATCTTGTCTTAGAACTTCCTCTTTGATTTGGTGTTGTTGCCTACACACACACGTGTTGTTTTTTATTAATAATTTTGTGTAATAATCTATTATCAGCTAAGCTTTCTTGTCTTTTTTCAATAATTTCGTCTAATTTTGTTTATATTTTTACAAGAATTTGTCATGTTTTATTGGGGCCTCCAAGTTTTTCTTTATCTGCTAACATTTAGTTGTTATATTTGTTGTTTTTTTCTTTTTAGTTTGCAAATAGTTTTGTTTTTCTGCTTGTAGGTCGTCTGCTGCTGCCCTCAACCGTTTTTACACAATAATTTGATAAGAATTCATTAATTTTTTTGTTTATTTTTTTGGGGGCCCCAGCAGAACATCTGTAAATTGAAAATATTGTGAAATTTTCTTACAGCAATGTTGTTAGCCACAAACTTGGCAGCACTTTTTTGACAGTACCTTTGAATGTTTATGTTTTTGTTTGAAAACTCAGTAACGGTTGTTTGTCATATATAAAGTAAATAGTTGCCAGATGACATTTCTTTATACATAATATTAATATTATGCAGTTTTTTTAATTTAAGGTAAACAATTTAATAATTTTATGCCAACACTTGTAAAATTTGCACTGTTTTCTAAAATTTTTAATATTTTTCATATACAATTAAATGTTACTGACGAAAACTTGCAATCTTTTTAATGAAAACTTACTTATAATACAAACATTCCACCTACACCCCTTTTACTTAAAATACTAAATTTATGTCAAAAGCTTTTAAAATTTTAGTTGCAAAACGTTTGTTAAAATAAATGTGGTAAATTCTATTACGGAATTTTGAAAATAATTTAAATTACATTAATTTGTTGATTTCTTCTTAAATTTCCTATGAATTTAACAAATTTCTAGCGATTTTTTACTTATTCAGCTAGTTTTTATAGGAAAGAGTTGGCAGCATTGGTTTACACCACAGCTGAATAGTAAACTTTAGGGTTCTATAGTTGAAACGAAAAGTCGACTTTTCGACTTTTCGACTTTTTGCATTTAGTTAAAAGTCGACTTTTCGACCTTTCGACTTTTTCCATTTTATGAAAAGTCGATTTTTCGACTTTTCGACCTTTTTCATTTATTTAAAAGTCGACTTTTAGACTTTTCGACTTTTAGTATTATATAAATGGTCGACTTTTCGACTTTTTCCGACTTTTTTCGACTTTTTCCGACTTTTTTCGACTTTTTTCGACTTTTCGACTTTTTTCGACTTTTCGACTTTTTTCGACTTTTTCCGACTTTTTTCAACTTTTCGACTTTTTCCGACTTTTCGACTTTTCGATTTTTTACGATTTTTTGACTATTTTCGACTTATTTCGACTTTTTTTCGACTTTTTTCGACTATTTTTTACTTTTTTCGAGTTTTTCCGACTATTTTAGAGTTTTTGACCTCTTTTCCACTTTTTTAAAATTTTCGACTTTTCGACTTTTTTCGACTTTTCGACTTTTTCCGACTTTTTCCGACTTTTTTCGACTTTTCGACTTTTTTCGACTTTTTTCGACTTTTCGACTTTTTTCGACTTTTCGACTTTTTTCGACTTTCCGACTTTTCGACTTTTTTCGACTTTTATTTACAAAGTCGACTTTTCGACTTTTTTCATAGACGATAGTCGAGTTATCGACTTTTTTGGAACAAAATAGTCGACTTCGACTTTTCGACTTTTTTCGACAAAAAGTCGATTGTTCGATTATTCGAAAGTCGATTTATAGAACCCTAGTAAACTTGATTAAAGTAGTGTTGACAAATAATGACACTTAAGAGTAATCATACAATTTCTAAAGGTATTCGTAATGAAAAAAATAGCTTTTAGTCCATTTTTATATATATTAAGGACCATAAAAGAAAATCGTGCACAAATTTCTATTGCAAAATATTATTAAAGTAGTTTGCATTTTAAATAACATTAAAATAATATTTTTTGTTAGGGAATACCTGCAAAAGTACACAATTACTTTACAACCAATTATTCAACAGTTTGGCAACACTTAACAAAAAATCCTCTCACTATCAGTGTATGCGTGCCAGTGCGGTAGTGGAAAGAAGAAAAAAATTATAATTTTTGTACAACGTCGTCCATCGTTCGTCGTCAGTATATAAAAAAATATTGCAGAAAAATTTGGTGTTTCTAAGCTTAATCAATAAAAGAAAATAAACAAATTAATTAAGGCCCCTAAAACGGCAACGCGCAGCTCGCTGATTACAAAAAAAGTAAACGGTAATTGTTGAAAAAGTTTTTTTTTTTTAAAAATCTAAACGCAAATATCCAAAAATTATTCTAACATACAGAATGAAAAATTTCTAAAGATTTTTTCTACATTTCTACGTGCGAGAAGGTGATGGCTGCCTTTTTTCTACCAAAAAAAGTTACACATATATAGATGAAGAAAAAAAATTATACATATACATTGCTGAAAAAAAGAGAGAGAGAGTGAGAAAGCTGCAAATAGAGTACATGAAAAAACAAAGTGTGAGACAAAGAGCCGCTATTATTAAAAACTAAAGAAAAACGGAATAGGGAATTAAAAGAAAAAATCGAACAAACGTTCAAAAAAAGTGACAAATCGAATAAAACGAAACGAAAAGAAAAACTTGACAAAACCAGGAAGAACAAGCAGCAGCAAAATTTATTACAGAAGTGAAAAAATTTTTATACGTGAAATTGTGTGAAGTTAAAGAAAAAAAATCAAAAAAGTGCAACTTAAAGCAAATTAATATAAAAGAAATTTAAGCAAAAGGTAAAAACTTAAAAAAGTTAAAGTTTTAAAGCCAAAAAAGTAGAAACCAAAGGTGGTGGTAAAAAACAAGTGAAAAAAAATTATACAAACGAATGGAAACTTAAAATGAAATTATGAAATCTAAAGCCAGGTTTTTGTGAAAAAAATTAATTTAAATATTTTAAAACAAAAGGAAAAAGTAATCATAAAGGGTGAGCTTTTTAAGTGAGAAAAAAATAGAAAGAATTATTCATTAAATGAAAACTAAATGTATAAGAATTTTTTCCATAATTTTTTTTTTTTGCCAAAAAATATCCTTGAAAATTTTCTATAGTGAAAGAGGAGAAAAAAAAACGCTTCAAGAGAGACGTATGATTTTGTAGGAAAAGAAAAAACATTTCTTTACTTAATATAGAAAAACAAGTAAGAGTGAAAGGGATAGCTAGAGACTAAATAAATTAAAGGAAAATGTGTTATAATGTTAAACAAAAATACAACTCTGTATAACAATTAGACTTTGGCACTTGTGTGTTTTTGTGTGTTGTTTTTAGCAAGTGTATGTCACCAACAGTGTTGGCAATTTCTTTTTATCATTTATAACCGCTAGAAAACGTCAAATTTAATCAATAGCGATACAATTAGTATTTTACCAAAAACTAAGACTAGACTAGAATATATACTAGATTATAGACTAGAATATATTTTAGACTATTAACTAGACTATAATCCATTAAATATTAGACTACACTATAGACCAAGCTATATACTAGACTATACACTAGATTATAGACTGGACTTATAGACTAGGCTATAGACAAGACCAGAAATCTTCAGTTTTCCGTTAACCGCTAAAATGTGTTTTTTCTGCAATATCCTGCTGGGAAAAACGTTAAATTGGCAACAGTGTTTTAAAATAAAGCAAAGAAGAAAAGAAATGAAACCAAGTGAGAAATGAAACAATTTAAAAGAAATATTAAAAGAGAAGTTAATACAAATCAGTTAAATTATTTAATATAAAAGTTTATTAAAAGATATTTATTACAAATAACTTAATCGTAAGAAAATTTTACTAAATGAAGCCATTTTTATTACTTTTCTGTGTGCTGCTTTTTCTTCTGTCAGCGTTGCTTTATTTGGGTATTTTCTGTTTCTACCAACAAAATTTGTTCCCTTTTTACTTTTATTGCGTCTTAATTTTTTTTATATTTGTGCTAATTTTTAATCTATCCATAATTTGTTGCTAGTTTTGGTGTTAAAAAACTAATAAACTAATTTTTTACAAAATTTTAATATTTTTAATTATAAAAAGTTTGTGTGTGTGTGCTTTTTCTACTTTTAAACAAATTCTTTTAATTCTGTTTTCTGTTGTAATTGTTCTTAGTGCAACAGAGATGACTGCTGTTAATAATTGTTATTAACTGTTATAAAATTGTTTTTGTATGCAAACTGCTGTCATTTTTTTTCCACTAATTTGTCATACAAATTTGTTATAATCTTGAGTTTAATCATAAATGTAATAAAAAAAATTAAATATTCTTTTAAATTATTGAACAATTATAAATTCTTAAATAAAGTTTAAAAAGTTAAGTGTTTTAGTAAAGTGATAATTATTGTAAAGGTCTAATAAAAGTCGACTTTCGGTTAATAATACGAGTCTAATGTAAAGCTGAGAACAGCGTCACTAGAAAATCTAGCAAAGAAAAACACTAGGTAACAATTTTATAGGTCAAAATCATTTATAAAACATAGCTATAACAAATTTAGTTAAATATATTCCTTTTCCAACTAACCCGTCACTTTTCACATTGGAACTCTCAGCTTTAACTAGGCAATGTGTGAAATCACCCACCCACACTGCTGCTAGGCGGAATACAATTGCCCGTTTCCTTTTGTATTTCACTTAAGAACACTTTATTTCGTTACTTTAGTATTTCTTTCTTAATAATTTTGCAGTTTTTATGGAAAATTTTGCTTTTAATATCCCAGCTGTTCCAGTCTTAGTCAATGCCACTAGAAAATCTCGCCAGAAAAACAATAAGGAACAATTATATAAGCTAATAACAATACTTGAACATGTTGCAATTTTTCTTAAGACTTTTCCTTCCTTAACTAACACATCACCTCCCACTGCGGGACTCTCAGCTCAAAGTTTTGTGTGAAATTTAACTTTCCCTCTGGCGCTAGATGAAGAAAACAGCTGTATACTTCCTTCTGTATCCCACTACCTTAAAATGTTATAATTTTGTTATTATTGTACTCCTTTCTTAATATTTTTTCCACATTTTCTAAACTTTCTTTACATTTCACTTTTAACAGGATTCTTTTTTAATTAGTAGCACATTTTCACACGTTACCTTATTTATTGTTTACTTGTTATGGGGTTTCTTAACAAATTAATATTTAAATCAATATGGCGTATTGCAATTTTATTTAACTATTTTTTTTTTTCTAATCTTATCAATAAATTAACTTTTCCGCTTTTTTTTTATTTGTATGTTAAGCTAATAGACTACCGGGCGTTGCTAGCAATAAAAAAATTAGTTAAATGTTATATATTTCTATAAAAGTAGGGAGTGTAGGTGTTATTATAGGGAATAATAGGGATCTCATGTTTGTTTTTATGTAAAGAAAATAGGTAGTTTATGGATTGATATATAGAAAGGTCTATAGATTAAAGAAAGTAAAAGTCTATAGACTTGAGTAATGACCAGAATATAGAGTGGTCTAAAGACTAGACTATAGAGTGGTCTAAAGACTAGACTATAGAGTAGTCTATAGACTAGACTATAGATTAGTCTATAGACTAGACTATAGAGTAGTCTATACTCTCTAGACTATAGTCTATAGACTAGACTATAGATTAGTCTTTAGACTGGACTATAGATTAGTCCTTAGACTATACTATAGATTAGTCTTTAGACTAGACTATAGAGTAGTCTATAGACTAGAGTAGGCTAAAGACTAGACTAGACCATAGAGCAGTCTATAGACTAGAGTAGGCTAAAGACTAGACTAGACTATAGAGTGGTCTATAGGCTAGACTATATAGTAGTCTATAGACTATAGAGTAGCCTATAGACTATACTATAGGATAGTCTATAGACTAGACTACAGAGTAGTCTATAGACTAGACTATAGAGTAATTTATAGAGTAGACTATAGATTAGTCTATTGAAAGACTATAGAGTAGTTTATAGACTACAGAGTAGTCTATAGACTAGACTATAGAGTAGTCTATAGACTAGACTATAGAGTAGTCTATAGACTAGACTATAGAGTAGTCTATAGACTAGACTATAGAGTAGTCTATAGACTAGACTATAGGGTAGTCTATAGACTAGACTATAGAGTAGTCTATAGACTAGACTATAGAGTAGTCTATAGACTAGACTATAGAGTAGTCTATAGACTAGACTATAGAGTAATCTATAGACTAGACTATAGAGTAGTCTATAGACAAGACTATAGAGTAGTATCTATACAAGACTGGAGCTTTCTTTAGAAACCTTTTGTGGTTTGCAATATTTATCTTTAATATAATCTATAAATTTTCCGAAAATAACCTTTTCCTACAACATCAGCTGACATACATTTCTTTTCATTTCATTGATTTCTTAGCCTAACAATTGCGTGTTTTAGGACAATAAATATACTTTTCTTTTAACATTTAATCAATAGTTTTTGTTACAAAGAATATAAAAAAGTCAAAAATATTATAGTTAAACATTAAAAACAAAAAGTTTTCATTAAATACAAATACATATATTACAAGGAAAATATCACATAACCCAAAGGCTAAAAAAGTAAGTTCTAGTAGAAGCAAACAATTTTAATTAAAACTCGTAAGGTTAGAGTTAGTTAGAAATAAAGTTAGTTAGAAATAATGTTAGTTTACTAAAACAAAATTTAATATCAAGTACAATTTTTTTATAAAAATAGAAAAATTTAATAAAATTTTAGAAACTTTTCTAAAATTTCTATAATAGTTGTTTAGTTCAACAGGTATTACTTTCATGCAACTAAAATCTAGTTTAAAACTTTTAAATTTTGCTTTAAACAACTAACACATATAACACTCTCTCTATGTTTATATTGATTTATATAAAAAAACCCTGGTTAGGTTTTCATAAAAACCCTTTTAGGCTTCCTAACCATAACCTTTACTCTTGCAATTAGTATATTTTTTCCTTATTGCACTGTTAGTTGTTGCTATTTTCTGCTATAGTTATAGTTATTTTACCCTTTGGCAAGTTTGTTACAAAAAATATGGTTTGATTCCTTTCCTTTTCTACTTTTTTTGTATTCTTAAAAAAAAGTTAATTGAATTTTATTGTTTCACACGAGTTTGACGTTGACAACACAACTAGTAGCAGAAATCTAGTAGAAAAATTCAAAAAAAAAAACCCTATTAAATTTAGATTTCTATAGCGAGAGGTTGTATTATTTGCTTTTTTCTTCACACATTTTTCAATATTATAGGATTCACAGAAAAACTCAATTG